AACAGAGGGTGCAGATGCAGGGGGACCCATCGTCTGGGTACAGTAGTACAGCTAGCGCGGAACAAAATTGAACCTGGCACGCCCCTGTTCCTGTGGAATCTGGAATAATGCCGCCCGGGACCGTGGACGCCGGCGGTTGGTGGCGCCGTACGTACCCCGGCCCTCTCTCGTGCATGCCATGGACCATGGACCAAGCCAAGCTGACGACTTGCAATGCAATGGCGACAAGCGACCTCGTATGTAGTCGTGGTCGTGGACCAGGTTAATAACCGTACGTATACATACATTGCACACGAAAAGCAGCTAGCTTAGCTCGCCCAACTGTTCTGCTGTCTTTTTCCTTTTGAGTTTATACGTGCTGCTGGTGGTATTGGAGCTACCCTTTACTTGTACTGTATGTTAAAAAAAACTTGTACTGTGTACCGCTACGACTACGAGAGTATACGAGACTGACATTAGTAGACGCAGCTCCACCAGCCTCTACGCTTTGTGCGCCAGCAAACCACCGTAGTGTAATGATAGGGGGTCAGCTAGGGCGGGAGACAAAGCGTTCGGTAGCGAAACTGCAGAACACATGGAGTCATGGATGATCCCGTGAAGGTTAATTTAACGGTAGAGGTTGTTGTCGTGGATCTATTAGTTGTAGCCATGCAGTACTTATGCTCTTTCCTATCTTAGACCTATTGCGGAACCTAAATTTAAAATGAGTCTCTAACATAATACCTATAGCCTCAATAGAGTATTTATATCGAAGACCCATTTTAGGTGTCAACAGAGACATAACCCAAATATAAGTATTTCTTCTGGAGACCCATTTATAGAAAATGGTTGTCTTTTGAGTCTTATTGTCGGAGAAGACCAAAACATATATTGAACCTTTTACCTATAACGCTATCAAAGGACGAATATGCCTCGTATATTAGGTCGCGGTTATCGGAGACGGTCTTTGCTAACTCTGCTGCCTTGCATTAGCGGCCAAACAAGGCGACGACGCTCGGTCAAAAGGTTCGTTCACGCACGGTGTTACTGGCCTCCCTCCACCCGTCGATTTCCTGCGTGGCCGGAGCCCGGAGCTGGACCGCACCGAGACAATTTAGCTAGTCTACGCTAGCTAGTAAAAAACTTATGTGTTGGAATAAGAGCCAGGCTAATAATAATACAGTCGGTTTACTGATGTTAAGGTTTAGGGCTTGTTTGGTTACTACATTTTCTTATAATTTATGTCACATCGAATGTTTAACACATATATGAAGTATTAAATATAAACTAATTATGAAATTAATTGCATAACTTGCGATTAATTTGCGAGACGAATCTTTTAAGCCTAATTAGTCCATGATTTGACAACGTGTTGCTACAGTAAACGTGTGTTAATGATAGATTAATTAGGCTTAAAAAATCGTCTCGAAAATTAGCCCTTATGTAATTGGTTTTGTAATTAATCTTGGTTTTTCTTGGTTTTTGTGCTCAGACCGGCCGTAAGCTTATAGTCTGCTTCTCTTCTCTCTCCTCTACTCTTCCCTCCATCTCAGTATTTAACTAGTTTACAGCCTAATATTATACTTTAATCGAGCACCAAAAATCGCAACGAATTATTAGAGCGACATGGACACCGAACGTTTGTATCGATTTGGCCAATGGCGGTGAGGCGTGAGCTGGCAACTCTGAACGTGTGTGGGTACCGGGTCACGCACGTCGCGGTCCCGGTTTGTAGTAGCACAATGGGCAAGTGACAAATGGTACCAGCAGGGGGCTCTCCTGAGCTCATGCAGAAGCATGACATGAGCTAAACAAGTCAAGTGACCTCTAACAATCAGGGAGTTATACGAGATGTTTTTGTGTTAGTACTGCCTCTGTCCGAAAAAGGATGTAATAATTCTAAGATGTTGTAAATCCAAACTAACTTAAACTTAATTGAGTTAATGAAAATTAGCATCGATATTTGACACTATAGTTATATTATATGGAATATATTCAATGGCTAATCTAATAATACTTAATGATAGCCATTAATTTGTATCAAACATATAAATTTAGTTGAATTTAAAATAATATTTTGAAATTTTGCATACTTTTTAGGACGAAAAGACTACTAAAGATAGTATATGAAGTACATATTATTTTTTTAAGAGTTAAATGTACCGTAGGTCCATTAACTTTAGGTGATGTGTCATACAGGTCCATCATCTTTTTTAACGCTGTATTTTTGGGTCCATTAATTTTGGTGGTGTGTCATCCAGGTCCATCAACTTTCAAACTATATTTTTGGGTCTATTAACTTTTTATGATGTGTCATCCAGGTCCATCAACTTTTAAATTGTATTTTTAGCCCCTAAACTTTTTAACTGGTTCACCGTAAGTCCATACCCCTTCGTTTAGCGAATAGATCTGACATGACACGCCAAAAAAGCAGCCACCGTGGAGTATAGGACGAGATCACCATCCGGAGGTAATCTTCAACACGAAGAACCTAATTGGTGGTTGCGTATAGGACGAGAGCACCTGTGTGCGTGAATCAAATTGGTGGCTACGTTTGGACGTGCCATGCATGTTAGCCAAATCAAGGAGTCAGGGTCAATCGGTCCTAGTTGGGTTGGTGGAGTTCGAGTTTTGTTTGGGTCAGTTGGCCTGCGTGTCTATACCTGTGGCATTCGGCCTTATACCGGGTAGATTAGACTGGATTTTATCGTGGAGTTTATTCTCCGTCGAAGCCACCGCTCGAGAAACCCTAGATGGTGATTCCATCAGGTTTTTCGTATGGAAGATTACCTCCGGATGGTGATCTCGTCCTATCTCCATGGTGGCTGCTTATTTAGCGTACCATATGTTAGATCTATTCGCTAAACGAAGGGGTATGGACCTACGGTGAATCAATTAAAAAGTTTAAAGACCAAAAATGCAATTTGAAAGTTGATGGACCTGGATGATACACCACCAAAAATTAATGGACCTAAAAATGCAGTTTAAAAGTTGATGGATCTAGATGACACGCCACCAAAAGTTAATGACTCAAAAATATTTGAAAGTTGATGGACCTAGATGACACATAACTAAAAGTTAATGGACCTACGGTGCATTTAACTCTTCTTTTAACTTATAGAAGGACCAGATCCAATTAGTACAATGTTATTCCTTTTCTTTTTAGAAGTACCAGATCCAATCTAATCATACACAAGGAAGAATCAGATATTGAATAGAGGATACCATGAACCATCAGGACAAGTATGTTGGTAATCATCACAAAAGAAAAAGGACAAGTATGTTGGTGTCGTCTCGTAGATAGTCTCATACGACGTGGCGTAACGATAAGACGATTGAACAACTAACTAGTACAATAGGTTGTCGTATAATAATTCAATTTATCCTTAATTTATACAAATATCAAAGGAAAGTTTGTTAGTTGTATGTCAATATAAAATCATTAAATAGTTGTCTCAGTTTTTAAACCTTCCTTGTGAGATTGTTGTTCAGAAACAACCATCTTTTTGTCTTATCTTCCTTCCTCTCTCTCCTCTAGGTCATAAGAATATCCTATCTAACTTTACATCAGGCAATCTTTAGCAGTGGACCTCCGTCCAAGAACTGGATGGATCAACCGTTTTCTTCGTGGCTGGCTGTTATAGGAAAACACAACCTTCTAAAAAAAAGCAAAACAAGCCGGATATGAGGATGTTTAACGGGGGCCTGCAGAAGAGGACCTTCCGTATTAAATATAGAGCTGCTGCTCATAAACGATCGTAATTTTTCAGATTGAGAACGATTTTTTTCTCTCACACCAATTTTTAAAATAATCCATACGATTAGTTCATGATTTGAAACGGATGGATCAACCGATTTTCTTGTGGCTGGCTGTGTTTAATTCCTTCTAAAACTCGCCTATCACATCATATTTAACATTATGGAGTATTAAATATGATTTAATTACGTAAACTAAAATGCATATATTGAGACTAATTTGCACGACGAATTTTTTAAATCTAATTAGTCCATGATTTGATAACGTAGTGCTATAGTAAACATGTACTAACAATAGATTAATTAGGCTTAATAAATTTATCTAATAGATTACTGAAAATAATTTATTTTTTTATGATTTATCCGATCGACATCCTGCGACAGGTCCTTGTTTTCAGTCCAACCGTTGAACCCCGTTGCGTCATTGCAGGCGGTGAACGGCTCGTCTCTCGTACCGCACGGCCGCAGCCCACCTCGAAGCCGGACAAAACACCGCAACATCCCATCCCCCTGCCTACCTGCCGGACGGGCCCCACCTCACAGACCACCCCCACCCGCTCTCATTCCATTTCTCCCGTTCCCAAATTAAATTCAAATAATTCTATCCGCCCCGTCTCCCCCTCCCCCGTTCCCACTCCCAACAACAGCAGACGCCGGCCTCCCAAAAAATCACGAGCGCTTGCGCGGCACGGGGACACGGGGAGGAGGAGTAATTCCCTCGGAAGGCCGCGTGATTTTCTTTAATCCGCTGGTACCCCCAGCCTCCTCCGCCTCCGCCGCGCCATACCACCCCCTCGTGAGCCCCTCTCTCCTTCTCGTCTCCAGTCCACACCTCGTCCCGTGCTCCCCCTCCTCCTCGCCTCCGGATCTCGTCCTGCCGGCCGCGGCCGGACGAGGCGCCCGCGACCCGGTCCGAGCCTCCCTTCCTCCTTCCCGCCTGTCGGCACTCGGGTCCGCTTACTTATACCGCTCGCATTGCCGGGGGCTCGCTCCATTTGTCCACCCGCTCGACGCGCGGACTCCCGGGGCGGCCCGGCATCCGGATCCTAGAGTTCGGAGCTTTCGGGCGCCGCTTCCGCGTGGCGTTTTCGATCTGAGGCCGCTTCGCGGGATTGCTCTCGACGCTTGCGGTGATGGCGATTGGAGTTGCTCGGCGGTGACCTGCTGGAGGACGCGAGGACTCGAGGACCCTGAGGTTGATTGAAGAGGCTTCGGGCGGGGAGGCTTTACTACTACTAGCTCGGTAGCTCCTGAGGAGGAGGGAGATGGCAGCCGGCGGTGTGGGGCCCGCGCAGCACCAGGCGCCGAACGGCGCCTCCGGCAGCGTCAGCAACGGCAGTGCTGCCGCCGCCACGCCGCTGCACGGCTCGGCGGCCTCCATCGCCAACGGCGCCGCCGACGGGTACGACAGCGACGGCTACAGCTTCGCGCCCCCGTGAGTCCCCATCTCCCTCCCTTCCTTCGCCGTCTCCTGCCGCTGCTTCGGTTCCGTTCCGAGTTGATTTCGTGCTGTTTATTGCCTATGTGCTAGATTTAGTTAATTACCGGTCCGGATGTCCCCGGTATTTGGATTATCTATTGCGTATGATGATTGCCAAAAGAGTTCCCAGCCTAGTGGAAAGTTGAGGGAAAAAGTTGGCCTGATGGTTTCATGGCTGGGATTTGTTTAATTATTGTATCCTGTTAATGTCGCTATAATTGGCTACCTGTGATGTGCTCGTAATCCATGTCCTACTACCCTACTTGTTAAATGCGTTAGGTACCAATTTTGTGGTAGTTGTTTTGAAGCGAAGACACCACAGCGTACATTGACATCGCTTTCTTCTGGGCCACATTCGCGGATGAGAGCTCTGTTTGCTTGGTAAGGTCGGATGTGATTCGTATTTACTATCTGAGCTTACTGTTTTTGCAGTACACCGTCAACGTTGTCAATGTCCATACCTCCTGAGCTTGCTGGAGCTATTCCATTAATTGATCGATTCCAGGTACGTGACTACTTCGTTCTAGCATCCTCACCGATGCGATCATTTTTTTTTTTTGAAATGAAGAGACTATCCAACATCTTGTCATTTTGTTCTTAAGAAATCGAGAGGTGAATCGAAACTTGAAAATAAGAACAATTAGCACAACATTCAAGTTTATATTAAGGTTTACATTCTTTTCTATATGAACAAAAATAGGAAGAATGTAGGTTTCCAACTCTAAACCCTATATACTCTCACCATTCAATTGGTTAATACCAACATTTATCCTTGTCACTGGCATTAGAGACAAGGAATTCAATTAGGCAACACCAGCAGATATCCTAAGCATCCTGCAGGCTCATCAAAATGTCCATTAGGGTTCCATAGAGTACTGTTATCAATTTTCAGATAGTAAGAAATGCTCTGATTCCCACTCTGATATCAGTGCTGGAAAATGACAGGTGGAGGGCTTTCTCAAAGCAATGCAAAAGCAGATTCATTCAGCTGGAAAACGCGGATTTTTTTCTAAAAAGTCTGTTGGGCCACAAGCTCGTGAGAAGTTCACTTTGGAAGATATGTTGTGCTTTCAAAAGGTGATGCTGTCAAATCTTATTCCATTGTGAAGTTACACAGTTGCACTTGTTTCAACTTATTTTTCTTCTAAACTTCTATGCTAAAACTTAAGGTCAATATCTCACATCAAATCGCATCTATCATTAATTTGCGCTTCTTTGTACCTCCTGCAGGATCCTATTCCAACTTCATTACTAAAGATAAGCAGTGACCTTGTAAGCCGCTCAATTAAGTTGTTCCATGTCATACTAAAGTACATGGGCATCGATTCACCAGCAATAATAAGTTTAGAGGAGAGAATAGAACTTGTTGCAAAGCTCTACAAGCATACGTTGAAGCGTTCTGAACTTCGAGATGAACTCTTTGCACAGATTTCAAAACAAACACGTAACAATCCTGATAGGTGAGTTGGGCTTCTCATGGATGGCAAACATACGTGTATATCATTGTAGGAATTCATATATTTTTTTGTACCTGCAGGGGTTGGTCAATAAGAGCTTGGGAGCTTATGTACCTGTGTGCATCATCTATGCCACCAAGCAAAGATATTGGGGCATACTTGTCCGAGTATGTTCACTATGTTGCCCACGGAGCCACAACTGATTCTGATGTTCGAGTTCTAGCACTGAACACACTAAATGCATTAAAGCGATCAGTCAAGGCAGGTCCTAGGGTTACAATTCCTGCACGGGAGGAAATAGAAGCTCTTTTGACAAGCCGGAAGCTTACAACAATTGTATTTTTCTTGGACGAAACTTTTGAAGAAATCACCTATGACATGGCAACAACTGTTGCTGATGCTGTTGAGGTAAATGCATTTTTCCTGAGCTATTAGTTTTATAATTGATATATGCTCAATACCTTCAAAAATCTTTTAAAAGAATGTAACATTGTTGTTGTAGTTCAGTTATAGCATATGTAAATGGCTTGTGTGACTTGCTTCCAAATAGTGTGCTATTACTTAGGACGTGGTCAGCAAAAAATGCGCTGTCATAGAATGCAGGCATATTAGACTATATATGACTGGAAAAATACACAAAAATAGTGCTTTTCATGGAGGTCGAAGCTCATTGATGCTAAAAGAGCAGGTGCAGTCTAAAGTTGCTAAGGGTCAGAGTTTTTATGCTTCTTGACTTGCCTGACCTCCATTTAGAATCAGTTTATATATAGGTAGGGTAGGTACTAAGTAATCATTTTTTGCTTTTTTTTTTCTTCACTCAAGGTTGCCATAGCAAATCTTAGTGTGGGCATCTTCTTGGCTTCAACTCAACCTCGCAAAGATGTTGTAACCTGGTGCTTGATGCTACAATGCCACCAGTGGCGGAGCTAGAGCAAGTCCGAGGGGGGTGTGTCGTGTCTTGTGGGTGCAAGGATCTTTGAAATATGGTGAAAATTTGACTCTTTCCACTGTTTTTTTAGTTTTACGAGGGTGCGGCCGCATCCACAGTGAGCAATATAGCTCCGCCCCTGAATGCCACATGGATGGCACGCTTTGGTTATTCTTCATTTGCTATTTTGTTTACTCTAGAACTAATGGATTTTTGCGGTTGACTGCAATAATAGTTTTACTTCCAATTCTCTGGACTAGTTTCCCCCCCTCCTTTTCTCTGTTGGCCAGTGGCATATATTCAGCCACATTACAATAGTTCAGTGTTATGTGATGATATTTCTATATGTTATTATGTTGTACTTTCCTTAAACAGTTCTGGCATTAGATTTGTTGCTGCAGTTTCTTGTGAACTTTTCAAAGTTACAATACCATTTGAAGTTATAAATGTTCTAAGGAAACATAAAATTGATTTAATGACAGGAACTTGCTGGCATTATCAAACTTTCAGTGTATTCTAGTTTCAGCCTATTTGAATGTCGGAAGGTTGTTAACGGATCAAAGTCTTCCGAGGTTGGCAATGGTAACTACCAAGTCTTTTTTTTTTTCCCTTTTCTATTTCATAATTTAAATAATGCATGTGGTTCGGATAACATGATCAGAAGGAAATGTAGTAGGATTTTGTAGAAGTTTTTCAAGTAACACGTGCATTTCTTTATCTTTTACTATGCAGAGGAATACATTGTATTAGATGATAACAAATATATTGGCGACTTGCTATCTGAATTCAAATCAGCTAAGGATCGCAACAAAGGAGAAATTCTTCATTGCAAACTTGTATTCAAGAAACGTCTGTTCCGCGAGTCGGATGAGGCTGTGACTGATCCAATGTTTGTTCAGCTATCATATGTCCAGGTACTGGTTTTATAGTCTTCTGATAGCTATCTAACTGAAGGACTGCCAGTTTGTTTGTTATTGTTACTCAAGTAATCTTGTTTCCAGAATAGATCTAACAAATAACATTGTTCTGCAGTTGCAACATGATTACATTTTGGGAAACTATCCTGTCGGCAGGGATGATGCTTCACAACTCTCTGCTCTGCAAATCTTGGTTGAGATTGGATACATTGACAATCCTGAGTCCTTTGTGTAAGTTTTTTTTAAGGTCCTACCTGATCTCTCATGCCATTTTTCAGTGGTAACAAAAATAATTTGTCCCCCTCTGTTCATTTTTTTGCTCTCACCAGTGAATGGATGCCACTTTTAGAGAGATTTCTTCCTAGACAAGTGGCGATTACCAGAGCAAAGAGAGACTGGGAGCTTGACATCATTTCACGCTTTCAGTTAATGGTATTTATCTAGCTCTTGAACTTTATATTTATTAGTTTATCGATATATTTACAATTTGCATTCACATTGGTAAAGCCTCGTTTGAACTCTAGCTTACCTGAGTACTCTGTTGTTTGATTCCAGGAACACTTATCAAAGGACGATGCACGACAACAATTTCTCAGAATCTTAAGGACTCTTCCATATGGGAACTCTGTTTTCTTCAGTGTTCGGAAGATTGATGATCCAATAGGATTGCTACCTGGAAAAATTATTTTGGGAATCAACAAACGAGGGGTCTGATCTCAACCATGCGATGGAAACCTCATATTCTTTCTGCTAAGTAAAACTGACCTTGAATTTCTGCATGAATGCAGGTTCACTTTTTCCGCCCGGTTCCCAAGGAATATCTTCATTCTGCAGAACTAAGAGACATCATGCAATTTGGTAGCAGCAATACTGCTGTTTTCTTTAAAATGCGAGTTGCTGGTGTTCTTCATATCTTTCAATTTGAAACAAAGCAGGTATTCTAAAGCTTCGAGGCAATAGTTTATAATACATCTGTCATGTTATATCATCTATAGCTGTTAGAATAACCATGGTTTTTTAGGGCGAGGAAATATGTGTAGCACTTCAAACACATATAAATGACGTCATGCTCCGCAGATATTCAAAAGCACGCTCTGCTAATAGTGTGACATTGCAAGATGATGTTAACCAAGCATATAAGCCACCAAATATCGAAATGTATGAGAAGCGTGTCCAAGAACTGACAAAAACAGTCGAGGAATCTCAGAAGAAAGCAGATCGGGTAAGTACCTTTGGCCACAAACAAAACTAGCAACCTAAGGTATTTGCTAGTGTAACTTGAAATTTCTAAACTATTTCTTTGCAATTGTATTGCCTGATGCAGTGTTGCTTTAATTGAATTAGATATGGTCCTCCTGGCCTATTTAAATATACTGTTCTGCAGTGGCTAAAAATCACAGCTCACTTTGTGTTTTTGCTCAGAATCACAAAATGACAATTAACAGAAAAGAAAGTTGTACAGTTTCATTTTGTTATTCCACTTCTTGTTAATAAACAATGTGCCAGACTAGGTCAAAATTTGTGGAAGACCATATTTAGTCAGGTACTGGTAATAGTTGAGAAATATTGGTTAAGATGGCTAAACTTCATGATTCATGAACATCTTATTGTCACATCGAATATCTTTTAGGTGTCCGTATAGTACCCAAATCCGTTTACAATTCCCACTTACACTGTAGTCATGTGAGGGCTGCAACGGTGACATCTTTGAACCTATCTTTTGTCTTATGCATACCTAAGAAAATAGAAATGCTTGTCTTATAAAAGTGTACATTTAATACATGTATAGAAGTGGACATTTTGCTGAGGAAATAATTGTCTTTACATTATGTATAGTTGCAAGAAGATCTACAGTTGAAGACAAAACAAGAAACGGAGATGCAAGAAGAGTTGGAAGGGCTAAGAGATACCTTGCAATCTGAACGACAAAGTTCCAAAGAAGTAAAAAATGAGCTTGATAAACTAAAATCTCTATATGATGAGAAAGAATCTGCTTTGCAGGTATGGTGATAGATTGTTGGTTTAGTGAAAATTGTTTGGATCATCTGACTTTCCATTTTATTAGGCTGCCCTGATGGAAAAAAGTAGACTTGAAACTAGATTAACAAATGGCCAGGGCCGTGAGAGAGATACTTTGACAATTGTAGGCAGCGTCAATAGTGACATTGAGGTATGTGTGACCTGTTTATAACTTCTTTGTCCACACTGATTTCTGCAAAATTGTTATAAACTTCTGATGCTTTTTCTCTTTTGTGTCTAAAAGATGCTTACCAAACTTAAGGAGGAGTTGAAATCATACCAAAAGGAGCTTGATGCATCAAAAGAGGTCTTGAAGAAGCTAATGTCGGAAAAGAATCTTCTTGAGCAAAAAGTTCAAAGGCTTGAAAGAATGAAAAATGAAGAGGTTATTTTTATTGTTTCGTTGTTATGCTACTTATATTTTTCTGTTCTGATTTCAGTGAAATTTTTGTTTATTTCATATTCTGAAATATGGTTTATATAATTATGCAGAAAAGCAAAATGGAAATGGTTTATGCGGATGAATGCCGTAAACTGAAATCTCAAATTGCTGAATTGGAGCAGAAATTGGAAGTTGCGACACATTCTTTAAATGTGGCTGAGTCAAATCTTTCTTTAAGAAATGCTGAGGTTGATGGCTTGCAAAATAGTCTGAAAGAACTTGATGAGTTAAGAGAGTTCAAAGCGGTACGAGATTTATAATAACTGCATTTATTTTTTAGGTCTTTTAAAAAGTTATATACTTTTTGGTTTTGCACCGTCTCAGGATGTTGACAGAAAGAACCAACAAACTGCTGAAATTCTTAAAAGGCAAGGAGCACAATTGGTGGAACTTGAGAATGTTTATAAGCAAGAACAGGTTCTGCGAAAGCGTTATTATAATACAATTGAAGGTAAATCAAAATTAAATGTCTGTGCTTAATAATGGCTATGATATTTTGTGATGAATTTACCATGACTTATGTTCCAACTCTTTACAGATATGAAAGGAAAAATAAGAGTTTTTTGTCGCTTGCGCCCTCTAAGCGATAAGGAACGTTCTTTCGAGGAGAAAAATATAGTTTGTAGTCCTGATGAATTTACAATTGCACATCCTTGGAAAGATGAAAAGTCGAAGCAACATATATATGATCGTGTTTTTGATGCAAACACAAGTCAAGAAGAAGTCTTTGAGGATACTAAGGTGAATATTTCAAATGCTATCTTTTGTGTTGATGCCGTCAGTATATAAATTTTATTTCTAGGATTATTCATTTTGGATTTCATATGATCTGTTTAATTTATGTGGTGCAGTATCTGGTACAGTCAGCTGTTGATGGATATAATGTTTGTATATTTGCGTATGGCCAAACTGGTTCTGGGAAGACTTTCACGATTTATGGTTCAGATAACAATCCTGGTCTTACTCCAAGGGCCACATCTGAACTTTTTAGGGTGATAAAGCGCGATAGTAACAAATATTCATTTTCTTTGAAGGTAGGTGGAATATGTGTTTGTAATGTTTATCTTGATTACAAGGCATATGCTTTGTTCATTTATATCTTCTAAACTCGGCTCATTGATTTGTACTGTTGACCAATGCTTTATTCTTTCATTTTACATGGTTTGGGAAGAAAAAATGACTTTAGAAACACTGTTTCGCATGTTTTAACATGTTCTTTAGATCCCAAGTTTGTCTTCTATATTATCCTTAAATTTAATTGTGTTTTTATACGTAGGCATATATGGTGGAGCTTTATCAAGATAATCTTGTGGATTTATTGTTGCCTAGAAATGCAAAGCAGCTAAAGTTAGAGATAAAAAAAGATTCCAAGGTATAAGATTTGTGTTTATAGCTAATTTGGATTTTCTTTCCTATATACATTCAATTCGTTGTTGTTACACTGCAGTGGATATGCTACCCTACTTTATTTACATATTTGATTACCACTTTTCTTATTGGTCTTTTTGTGCTTTTCAGAAACAGTAGTATATTCAGATATTTATGTTTCGTACTTTGTTAATTGCTAGGACATGCAGTTAATTTATCTCATTTTTTGACATTAAATAACTTGCTTTAGTACTTTCCTGACAGTTTGTTTCTGCATCTCCATAATAATTTTGTTCAAATTCTAAAACATCTATATTTGATAGTAGTAATTCAAACGAACCAACCATCACTTTGATCTGTGCAGTTTCCATTGGCAATTTCAGAAGTGTTTTTTATCCATGTACAACCTTTTATGCTCATAGAGTTAATTATTCGATACTACTTTTTAGGGTGTTGTTACTGTTGAAAATGCGACAGTTGTGAGCATTTCAAGTATTGAGGAACTGAGGGCTATAATTTCAAGAGGTTCTGAGAGGAGGCACACTGCAGGAACGAATATGAATGATGAGAGTTCAAGGTCTCATCTAATTCTTTCAATCATTATTGAAAGTACAAATCTCCAAACTCAATCATATGCAAGAGGCAAGGTATGGCAGGATGAAGCTGCGAATTTTACTCCAATTTAGTCTGAGTCATGTTTTGTCTGCCTTTATCTGTGGCCTGGGCAATTCATCCACATCGTTGAACTTTTGCATACTGTAGAAAATACTACACCTGTGATTTGATGGAGGTTGTTTTTAAACATTACCTGGAAAACACACTAGTTGTATTTCAATTGTTCCATAAGATTAAAAACTTTTGTACTTTCTGTAGTATCTTGGCCTTGGCAGTCTGGTTATTCATATGATCTTTGGTTTTCATTATTATTGTTTCAATACTATGCAATAAATAATCTCAGTGCATGTTTTAATTTTGTGTGTGATTTAATATGAAGTATAGAGCAACACCATATTTCTACTGGAACTACACAGTTTCCTGTGAAGCTATTGCATTCTAAACAGTCCTTGGGCTATTATAATTAATCTCAGAATTTGTTTCACATTTAAGGGAAGAATTGACAGTGTTCCTCTGTTTGAACAGCTAAGTTTTGTGGACCTTGCTGGTTCTGAGAGGGTGAAAAAATCTGGTTCAGCAGGAAAGCAATTGAAAGAAGCACAAAGTATAAATAAATCTCTTTCTGCTTTGGCTGATGTTATTGGTGCTTTATCTTCTGATGGACAACATATACCTTACCGGAACCATAAGTTAACAATGCTTATGAGTGATTCTCTCGGAGGCAATGCGAAGACCTTAATGTTTGTGAATGTTTCACCAGCAGAGTCTAACTTGGAGGAGACTTACAACTCACTGATGTATGTACTTCTTTGCTCACTGAGTCTATGTCCTTGTCTTTTGGGTTTGCTATTTGTCACTGTTTCCATTAATGTAGTTTTGATATATTAGCTTTTCCATTGATTAGGATCATTTCAGTTGTTTCTATCAAATGGGTATGATGATTAGGTTAATTTTGTTGCAAAATTTTTGTTTCTACTGATTGGAGTTGACATTTTTTAAAAATTTGTCTCAATATAGGACATTCCTGTGGTATGGTCCAGTGGCTTTGTTTCATATAATTTTTGAAACCTTGTAGGTATGCTTCACGGGTTCGTTGCATTGTTAATTATACGAGCAAGCATGTTGCCCCAAAAGAAATCATGAGGTTGAGGAAGTTGATCGCCTACTGGAAGGAGCAAGCAGGCAAGCGGAGTGATGGGGACGAATTAGAGGAGATACAGGAAGAGAGGATCTCAAAAGAGAGAGCAGACAATCGCCTGACTGGCTGACAATGTGACACCCACCACTGAATGCTCCTGGTTTCATTCTTCCATTACCTGGAGAAGAGGTGATTGATGCTGATGAGCATTTGCGACTGTCACGAGTTCTGTGATCGCTCTCTAACAGAATGTTCTGATATCATCTGACTGTCCTGTACACTAATTGTATAGTAGCTACGTATTATACTATGGCAGCGATGCCCGTTTGTACAAAGAAGAATGTAGCACACATTCATAGAAGGGGAAAAAGTTGAGGGCTAACATTTTTTTTGGGAGGCTTGATGCGCCCTAAGCCCCTAATAGCTGGATCACACGTCTTATTAGCCCTTGCTGCAGATATTTAAAGCATCATGTGAGCGTCCTCACCAAATTCTTTCTTATGTTACGTTAGATCGGGTAGGCTTGGATGCCAGTTTATCGTTTGTTTGATTATTGAAATCGGTGGTGTGTTTCCAGGCCTTGATGTCATACCATAAAGAAACCTCCAAGAGCCAGACTTACATATGGTGGCCATTTTTGGTGATTTTGCCTTCGTATGAGCATAGTAAAATGGTTCCCTCTCTAGATATCATTGCACCAATCAGAACCAAACAGTGTTCGGCGCAACCAACATGAATGAAGATGACCTATGGAATTCCAGAAGAAATAAATAAATTTGATTATTCAAGAAGCAGCACAAAATAAGATTCCTCAATTGTACGAAAGCTCGCAATCACTTGCATGTGTTGGTAGATAGTCACGGCAAGAACAACTAATCAGCATCTTTTCTTTAAGAAATGAACACCTTTTCCTTCCATCCAAAAAAAGAAATAATTCTAGCATAGTGTCAACTAAAATCATCTTAAAGACTAAATTTATATAAAAAAAGTTAAATTTTAGATAGTTTGACTAAGGAGAGAGCTGGTATTACATTACGGAGGCGGTAAGAGCATTCCCAAAAGCCTTTCTAAATCTCACTCTATAAATTATTATTTGGAGAGTCACTTGCATAAAAATCAATTTCTATTTTTTTTTTTTACTTTCTAACATTTTTTCTAAATCTTATGCGCGCTCTAAAGAGTCATTCTCGTCTTGTATTTTTAGCTAGCGAGAAATTCGGATTAGAAGATGGCTACATTTGGATAACGAACGAACGAAAATGGAGGCAAGAACCCAATCCAACAATATGCAACAAAAAAAAAATCTGTTCGTCGTGGAAAGAAACATGGCGAGAAAATGGAGGCGGAACCCAATCCAACAATATGCAACAGTCGTCTAAATGGAGAAACTGGGATTTGGTCATTTGGAGAACGGTAAATCTACACGTTGCTCGAGTGATTTTTGGACTCCGGTCACTCGATTTCTGGTGGCCGTCGAATGACGCTGCCAACGGATTGGATGCGCTCGGCTGTGGGGCGGTCGTGGGGCCAGGTGTCGTGGTCGCTCCGCCAGGGTGCCGCTCTCTTTCTCAAGGCTGCATGCGGTCGCTTGGCCAGGGTGCCTGCTCTTCTCTCAAGGCTACGAGACACAACTGCAGCTGCGTCGCCGGTGGAGTGCATGCAGCTGCTTTGCAGGTGAAGGGACAGTAGCCCCTAGCCATATACTCGTATTATATGTATATTTATTCCTTTAGTAGTCACATATTATATGTTATTGGACATATTTTACTACTTCTGTTTGTTGTAAGTTCTGTGTTCAAATGGTATAAATTGATTTATTTGTAAATGGGAATGGTCAAAATTACTCGAACTGTTATCTAATCTTTTTTTTTGTTTTTTTCTTCTGATTTTCTATATGTTTTATTTGGTTCCCCTTTAAAATTTTCCAATTTGTCTTCCATAGAAATAATCTGGTTATTTTTTGGCTTTTTTGAACGTCTGTATGTTTTATTTGGTTCGCCTTTGAAATTTTCCAATTTGGCTTCTATAGAAATGATCTGGTTATTTTTCTGATTTTTTATTTGTTGTTTGTATGTTTTATTTGCTTTTTCTTTGAATTTCTTCCAATTAGCATTTCATAGTAATTATCTGGTATTTTTTGCTATTTTATTATTTAATTTTTGCATTTATTTGCTATATTTTATTTGTATTGTTAGATCTGGATCCAGCTATTATAGATATCGAGTGATGGCTGAGACGTGAACACTTGATTGTGTTTGTTTGTTGGAATCGAGTGATTTTAAGGAATGTGACACTCGGGTGTCACCTCTCCCTAAAACACTCGAATGTCCTGTAGATACTCCATTTGGAGAAAGCGCGCCGCCCGGCCGCCGGCCGCGAAGCTGGAGAACGTACACGTGCTAAGGTCAAACGTACCACGCAAGCCAATGCAAGGTCAGGGAGCGCTCGTCGGCACGTACGATCGATATACATAGATGTCATCGAGACATCGTGGCGAGCTAGTGCACGGCAGAAGGAGACTTGTTCCGATGCAATTCGAACGACAGGTGATGAGAGCGTCAAAAAGGAGCTAGCTAGTACAAAAATCATGAAGTCGAGCTAGAATTTCCGAAGAAACAATGTTGCAAAAATAAGACCCTTTCAATTACCTAGCAGCTCTACATCGACACAGCAAACGATGTTGCTTATACAAGCGCCATTTGGCAAAAATCACTTCATTATAAATTCTCCCAGTCGCTCGGGTAGTTGGAATTTCCGAAGAAACGAGAGGGTGAGGAGCCAAAGCCCCCTGTAATATATTCCCCCTCTCGATCCCTTCTCCGAACACACGGTGCCCTTTATTTCTCCTTTCTCCAAACACACGGTGCAATACAGAAAGCCACGGCCGCTGCTCCTCGGTGCCCTTCCCTTGTTCTCATGCTGCGGCGCCTTGTCCACCGCCGCGGATGAGAAGCTGATCCACCTCCATTTCTACTTCCACGAGGTCAACGCCGGCGAGCCCAACGCCACCGTCGTCAACGTCGCAAACCTGCACAAGTACTTTTTTTTGGCATATATTATATATGTATACATCGTTGACACTAGCCACGGCCCCAGGAACGCGACGACGTTCGGGGACGTGAACGTGTTGAACAACCCGCTGCGTGAGGGACCGGACCCGGCGTCGCGGCTCATCGGCAGGGCGCAGGGCATCGTGGTGCCTGCGTCGCTGGACGACTCCAGCGTGTTTGCGGCCATCAACTTCGTCTTCTCCGGCGACCACGGGGAGTACAGTGGCAGCACGCTGGCGACGCAGGGCCACTTCGACGCGTCGGGGGGTGGGGTGGTGGGTGGTGGGGGGGGGGGGGTGTTCGCACTGATGGATAGATCGTCGCTAGCTACCCTAGCTCCTTGCTTATCAACTGATCGATCCCCCCGTGTGCGTTGCATTGGTTACAAAAGAAGTGCATTGTGTTTGTTTTGTGGACTTGTTCGAATAAGCATTGTACTAGCTAGCATCCAGATGTTAACGATCTGGAGCGCTACCACACTCGGAAACGGAACAGAGGTGTCAGGATCGTCTCCCCGTTCTACCGAGATCGATCTCGTATATTTATTTACCCAGAAAAATCCCGCATTGTAACTGTTCTTTTTTTAACAAAGAGTCACCTTTCTTTATCCATCGGGATAACAACTAATACTAATACGAACTCTCCCTCAGAAGGAGCAGCAAACCAAACATATCTTTCTACCGAAAAATTTACAGAGCCCCAAGCTAGACAATGAGCATCACGATTCCAAGACGATGGGCCCATACCCCCCAAAACCCTCACCGTAGATGCTTCTTACTGCATTGACACAATCGCTTGTCACTCAGAGCGTTTGGAGGCCAAGATCACTGGCCAAAGCCAGGCCCTCGCGGCATGCCACTACCTCGGTTGTTTCTGGGTCGACGTAGCCTTCCAGGTCTAATGCTGATGCACCTAGAAAGTTTCCATCTTCGTCCCTGGTCACGGCTGTCGCCGAGGCCTTACTCGAATTCTTGAAGATCGCCGCATCCACATTAACTTTCGCAAATCTCGTTGGTGGTTTGATCCATCGTGGTGCTGGGTCGGCCACCATCTGCTTTTGCTTGTTGCTCGACTTGATCATCTCCAATTCACTAATGAACCGTTCCACAAAGCTTTAGTCGAGAACGGGCTTTGAAATTTGCTCTTGTACAACGCTTGCCGTCGCGCGTACCAGATAGTCCAAAAGACGAACCACCACCCATGTAAACTCTTCATGCTTGAGCGCAGCCGTTACCTTTGCTAACCAAGCCCTTGCGTCCGGCATTTGTATCTGGCATATAAGGCCCCGTTTAGATGCAACCCAAAACCCAAATTTTTTCAAGATTTCCCGTCACATCGAATCTTGCGGCACATGCATGGAGTACTAAATGTAGAAAAAAAAACTAATTACACAGTTAGCCGAGAAATCGTGAGACGAATCTTTTAAGCCTAAATAGTCCATAATTGGACAATTTTTGCTAAATACAAACGAAAGTGCTACAGTAGCCAAAAGCCAAAAATTTTCGGAACTAAACGGGGCCTAAACACCGTAAGCTCCTCCCTCTCCAAGACTCAAACGCACTTGGCTAAGTTGAACTCCAGCGGTGCACGCCTCCAAGAATCCGTACAACCGCACAAGGATAGGTTCCATCCAACGCCATGTTCCTGCGATGCCGAACGTCCCTGCTTGGGATGGAATGCCTCGCCAAACCCTAAATCCACTTTGGCAATCGTTCACTCAAAAACAAAGCCAGCGAACGATTGGGCTCCAACCAGTGTGGGAGCATCCGCTGATGTCAGCACTGACATAGTCTAAAAAAGTAAAATATTTATTTTAAATTGATATAACTTTTGAACGGTGTATCCATTTTTAATTTCGTCTGCACCGTTGTGTTCTACACGACGTGGCAAACAAAACTAGACCCTACATGCATATGTTTCAAAGATTTTTTTTCGAATAGCAATTTATGTATATTAATTTATAACATATAACTTAGGTCTTGTTTAGTTCCTCTCCCTAAATTAAGTTTAGTCCATATCTTATCGGATGTTTGATACATGCATAGAGTATTAAATATAGACTAAAAATAACTAATTGCACATATTGCGACTAATTTGCGAGACGCATTTTTGAAGCCTAATTAGTTCAGGATTTGACAATGTGGTGCTACAGTAAGTCTACAGTAAACATATGCTAATGACGGCTTAGTTAGGCTTAATAAATTCGTGTCGTGGAGTACTGATGACTTCTGTAATTTATTTTATTATTACTATCCGAACACTCCCATGTGACACCCCTAAACTTTAGATTTAAACAATGCCTTATAACTTACAATTTATGTACACAAGTTGTATTGAATAACTTATGTACACACGTTATATAGAACAACTTATGTACACAAGTTATGTTTGATAACTTATGTACATAGTTGTGTTTTATAACTTTTGTGTTTCTAAGTTTCGGTATAAGTTATAAGTTAATTCGTCCCTTCGTATGTTAATAACTTTTGTGTTTGTAAGTTTTGGCATAAGTTATAAGTTAATTTGTTCATTTGTACTTAATAACTCTTTGTAAATAAGTTGTGTTTTTATAACTCTTGAGTTTTCAAGTTTTTCGCATAAGTTATATATTATAAATTAGTACGCATAAATTACTACTAGAAAAAAATTTCTTCAAAACATATGTAAGTGGGGTCTAGTTCGTCTCGTCACGTAGAACACACCGGGACAGATGGAATTAAAAACGGATACACCGTTTAGAAGTTATAGCAATTTAAAATAAATATTTTACTTTTTTCGCCTATATTAGCGTTGACGTCAGCATGCAGGGTGAGCGCGTGCGCAGCCGAGAACCCAAAAGAGAATGACTGAGCACGCCCGCGCCATACAAAACAGGAAAAAGGTGAAATTATTTTTTTTCTCCAAAAAAAAGGAAACAAAGCCATGTCGGAGAATTGTTCGATTGATTTACGTGTAGTGAGCGCTCGCTAATTATTACAGGAAACACTACCTTAGATGGAACTCTGTTTTGTTTTGTTTTGAGGGGAGGATGGAACTTTGATTCTTGTTGGGATAGCCCAATATACGAACACACCCAATCCGCTAAAGGCCCAACAGGCCCATCTGCCCGACGCCCCGTGCCCCCGACTGCTCTCAGCGACGCTCTCCTCCGTCCGTTTGCCCAGCGCCTCCACTCGCTGCCCGTCGCCCCCAAGGCCCAAGCCATCCGCAGTCCGTCCGCCCCCGTGACGCGAGCGCCGCCAGGGAGCCGAAAGTACGCTTCGGTTCCGCCGGCGCGCGAGGGGATTCGAGCTGGGTGTTGGGTAGCCTCTCACGATGCCGCCAGCCCCCAAGTCCGGCGACGCCCTCTTCGCCAGCGTGGATCGCGTCGTAAGCTTCTGAACCCGTCCGTTGCTCACGGAAATCTGGCGCTGACGCTAGATCTGGCCTTGGACTTCGCCTAATCGCTTTCTGGTTCATCGCTGGTTTCAGAATGCCGAGCTGTTCACGCTCACGTACGGCGCCATGGTGCGCCAGCTGCTCACGGATCTGGAGGAGGTCGAGGAGGTCAACAAGCAGCTCGATCAGATGTACGTGGTTCCCCTTCTCTCTCTCCTTCTCTTAGTTGCCGCATTTCCCTGGCCGATTCGGCGAATTTTCATGGATGATGGAGCCAGTTAAAATTTGCAGCCTTAGTGCAGTACTGGTAGAAACGTTGATTTCCTTGTGGCCGTGCGTATGGAATCGTTTCTGATAGTTCTCATCGCTGACAAATTGTGCGATGTTTTCACTCAATGATATATGGATCATGCAAGATTATTCAATACGATTTGTAGACACATACAACACAGTTAACTTGAACTATGGAATTGGACCTGATAGCCTGAGATCACAGACTTTGTGCAGCATGTGAATGAAAAGAAAAAAGGATTTTTCTTGATGGTATTTAGTTCTCACTCGAGGAGTCATAGTAAGAGTGATGTGGTCTGTCTCTTCGGAGACATCCCATAGAAGAAAAGTGATATTGTCGTCTGAAATACACAGTTCCTACATCTGGATTATTTGTTCTTTCTATCCATCCCATGGTATACGTCCCATGTGGTTGGTCATGACCCACTTACATGCCATGTTTCTACTCAGGGATAAGATTTGTTCAATTATATGTATTTCACTTTTGCAACTTTCTCCTCAATTGAGGAATAATGAAGTTGGATCTGGGCGAATCTCAACTAGAATCAAGTATGAAGTGGTAGTTAGTATGATTGGCAACATAACAACTGTTTTGCAGAGTTAATATCCCTTGTTTTCTGGCTGCAATTCTCATAATTTTGTCTTCAAACTTTTTTCATTTAAACCCTTTCCAACATGTTAAAAGGAAAAGTTTCACTTTCAGGGGTTACAACATTGGAACTCGATTGGTTGATGAGTTCTTAGCAAAGTCAAATGTATCAAGGTGTGTTGACTTCAAGGAGACTGCCGATGTTATCGCAAAGGTCTTTGCTAAACTTCACAGCAATACGCAGCTCCTGAGCTTACTGCCCCTATTCCTATATGGCATATCTGCTCTTTTATTCTGTATATGTTTAATATTCTAACAAGTACTTGCGCGGTGTTGGAGCAAATGCATATATGGTCTTGGTTGTTCACAGCATCCACTTCTTTTAGATTATTTAATGCTTCTGTTCACTGCCTGTGCTAAATTAGTTCAGTAACGATGCTGTCTCCTGCAGATCGTCCATTTAGTGTGCCGAGCTTTTCTTGTTTATGCCTTCTTGGTTTATTGAAGTCCAATGACCATTTGCCATGTTCCTATTTTGTTGAATATTTGTTAATTGCTGCCTATAAGATGCTGGATATATAGGTTATCAAATGTTTAGCACTTGCAATGCTGCATCTTTTTTCCCATCCTCCATGGATTCAAGGTCTGACAGCACCCTTTTATTTTTCCTTGTCACAACAGCTTGGCTTCAAAATGTTCTTGGGTGTGACTGCAACTGTGACCAATTGGGATGCTGAGGGTACAAGTTGCAGCCTTGTCCTGGAAGACAACCCACTTGTTGATTTTGTCGAGCTCCCTGACACTTGCCAAGGCCTTCAGTATTGCAATCTTTTAAGTGGAGTTATTAGGGGGGCATTGGAAATGGTTGGTCTTCTGTTTAACTGCTATCTCCATTCAAGTTTCTTCCTTTACCTTTCATGTCAGTCATACTATCGAATGTTGTTCTGAAGTTGTTACAGAATGCATACAGCCAGCTTCCTGAAACTTTGACTGTTAATATGGTGATACTAATATATTTGTCCTCTGAAATACTTAATATTGATATTTCAGAATGCATACAGCCAGTCTTGTAGAATTATTTAGATTTATCACAAATAAGTGATACTAATATTGATATTTCCCCTATACCACTGTTACATGGTGGTGGCCCTACCTGCTGTAGCATGGAACCTTACACACCTATGTTCTACTTATTATGGTGTTCTTACTGATTGATTGCAAGTGTTATATGTAGGTGTCTATGAAGACGGAGGTGACATGGGTACGTGACATGCTTCGTGGGGACGATGCCTATGAGATGCGGGTGAAACTTATCAAGCATGTCCCGGAGGAATACCCCTACAAGGATGATGACTAGTTCTATTTCAGTGGAAGATTTTGGGACAGGTCGCCTGTTTGCTTGTTTGGATTTTCACATCGTTGTCGTCAACGGATTCTAGTTCTGCTATAACCTGATGTCATACGAGGAAGCTGTGGATTATATTTTACACTTGCCGTGTGTATTGCTTATGTATTGTAGAAATCATACATGATCTTCCATGAGTTGCGGCTTTGAATTAGTCTGCTGAATTCAGAGCATTCGCTATGCAAATTGTGTTATCTAGAAATAAAGTATTTTCAATCTCCTTAGCTGTCATTCTCTGCTCTCATTCATGCAAAGTTCTCCCGTTCTTTGCCTGCCTTCTCCATTTCCCTGAAAGAGCTTGGTTTGTTATTAGCAAAAAAAAAAAAAAAAAAAAAACCTAAAGTTGGCCTAGAATTTTAGAAGAAACAATGTTGCTTCTACAAGCTCCCTTTCGGTCACCTAGCAGCCCTACATCGACGGTTCTACACTGTAGACACATTTTCCACTAACGAAAACTCCCAGTCACTTGGGTTGGTAGACACTCACTGCTGTTGACTCTGCAAAAGCAAAAAAAAAAAATAAAATGATTGACTTCATTATGTAGTAACAAAATATTTTTTCAATCTTTTTTTTCTGTAATATTTTTCCGCTATTTTAGAACAATATTTTCTTTGATGAGACCCAACATTCCTTTTTTCTGTAGTATTTTTCCCTCTTTGTGGAACAATACAGTCCTTTGATGAAAACATTAAAATGAAAGTTGTTTCAGCTCAGAAGAAAAAAAATGTTCCAACAAGAAACTATTCTATCGAAAGAAAACAAAGTTAGAAGAAAATATTGCTGGTAAGAAAAATTGTTCCATAAAAACAACAAAATAATGTTCCCTCACCAAAAAAAAAATCTCACCATAGATGTGGGACAAAACGACTTTAGTCACATACGTATGCGACGTCTAGTATTTCCAATGCTACCCAGGGCTTTGCCTCAGCGTATGTTGGCCTTCTACATTTCCTGAAAGAGCCGAATAGCTTCGTTTGATATTAGTATATGAAATTATGAAATTGATCAATATTTTTAGAAGAAATAATGTTGCTTTTACGAGCACGATTTTAGGATAAATAATACCATTTCAGTCACCTAGCACTACCAGCCCTACATCAAGCCATGAACACTGCAAAAACTCTAGATAAATTGCCCACTCATGAAAGCTTGCAGTTATCACTTCATTTGGATTTGTTATTAGTACAAAAATCATGAAGTTGACCTAGAATTTCCGAAGAAACAATGTTGCTTATACAAGCGCCATTTGGCAAAAATAAGACCCTTTCAACTACCTAGCAGCCCTACATCGACACTGCAAACAACATTAAATACATTCTTCCAGTCGCTCGGGTAGTTGGGTTGGTAGACAGTCGCTAACGTTGACTCTGCGAAAGTAGAAAATCGAATAAACTTCATGAGGAGCCCTCAAACTTATATGGTTGTCACGGCCCCCAACATTCGAAATGTTACTTTGGATTCCTAAATTTATCCTAACATTCAAGTCCTCAGCTCAGGAAATTCTATTTTTGGTCTTTTATCTATTCGAGCAATGCCCACAAAAACAAGCCTCTGTTCTTTCAGGATCAGAGCTGCTAGGATGGAATTCCCCATACGAAGTTCGTTGACTGTTTTTTTTTAAAGTTCGGTGACTGTTCGTGAGTTTTAATCCCAAAAATGATTAGTAGCATTATCTTATCTACTAGTACTCTCTCTATATATATAAAATAGGTAACTGAAGTATGTTGGAGTCTCTCACACACAAAGAGCGCGCACGTAGAAAGAAAACAAAACCAAGCCATGGCCGCTGCTCGGTGCCCTTCCCTCGTTCTCATGCTGCTACTGTCCTGCACCTGCCGCGGATGAGAAGCTGACCCACCTCCACTTCTACTTCCACGAGGTCGAGGCCGGCGCGCCCAACGCCACCATCGTCAATGTCGTAAGCCTCAACAAGTCGGCCTCTTGTGTGCCTTTCGGCAAGTCTCTCCTAGATCGCTTTCTCGTCCTCTTCACTATCAAGCTTCCGTCCAAACCGTCGCAGGCCTTGTTCCCTCCGTACACGGTGGCGGCCACACCACAAACGCAGTTGGTGTGGTCTCGCAAGACTTACAAGCTCCGCCGAGTACAACAATGGTGCGCTCAAGCACCAAGTAATAAGAGGTATGCAAACATCAATAAACACTAGACCTAAACCTAGAGCAAGCGTATAAGTGGTGGTCTAATCAACATAAACACTTCACAAAGCACCTACGTTAATCACCTAATATTTCGCTAGGCACTTTGGTGGCTGGAGCAACTAAAATGAGTCTCAACTCATATATCAATTCATTGGGCTCTCACACCTTCAATTTGCCTGGCCATGGGGGTATTTATAAGCGTCCAACCAAATAGAGTCATTGATCCCCTTGGAGGGCTTTTCTACGCACCACCGGACCGGATTTTCGAGGGGTCCGGACCATGCTTCCTCGATCCGGTTCCCTCCAACGGTCACTGACATGCAACCATTTGAACTGGCTGTTATGCGCGCCGCAGAGGCTGACATGTGGGGCCAACCTCCAGACCGAACGGTTGATTGGTCCAGAGCTCTCAACCGGACTAAGTCCGGAGCCTTTGGCGCTCTCTGGAATCTCTCTGGACACCTCCGGACCGAGCTCACGAATGGTCTAGATGGTAAATGTTCATAGGGTCCGGAGCTCCCTGAAGCTAGGGTTTGCAACCAGACCCTTGATCATCTGGGTCCGGAGCTCCTGAAATGCTCCCTTCACTTCATTTTTTCGCGACCTTTGCGTCCGGCTTGGTTCCATTTTTCGTGCTTGGAATTTGCTTGATCTTTTGGGTCTTCTACTCCGCTTCTAATGCCTTGCTTGAGGTCTTGATCATCAGATCATCATGTTGCCTCCATCCAAGTCACGTTTGCACCCTATTGAACTACAAAATAATCACTCTCAAATACGCTAGTCCAATTTAGTCTTGTTGTACATCAAACACCAAAATCCAATTTAAATGGGTCAAGGGTCCATTTTCCTTACTGGGTGGACTCAAGAACACAGAGAAGACACAACGGTTTATCCGGGTTTTTGTCTATCGGGGACCTATGTCCCGAGCAGAGGCCGAGGGCGTGCTCGGGTTTTGCCTCGATCCTTGGCTAGAAGGTGCGTGTGAGCGCACCTGTTGGGTGTAGCCCCGAGCGATCTTGAAGGGATCGGTCGGGGGGTCCTTCGGTCGGAAACCTCTTACCCTGAGACTTAATGTATCCTTATGTTTGAGTGTCGTCAGTTGGCCTTTTACATTTCCTGAAAGAGCCGAATAGCTTGTTTGCTATTAGTATATAAAATTATGAAATTAATCGAGATTTTGAGAAGAAATAATGTTGCTTTTACAAGCACGATTTTAGGATAAATAATACCCTTTCAGTCACCTAGAACTAGCGGCCCTACATCAAAGCCATCAACACTGCAGAACTCTTCATGGAATTGAATTCATTCTAATAAACTATAATTTAGAAATATACTAATTAAGCTAATATGGTTGTATAAGAAATATATTTGTGTACTATTGTTAGCTATGCAAGGGAGATGCTTACATGTTGTATTTCTAATATAAAGAAGTGAGTTGAAGATCGTGTTATAAGTTGTGGAGTAGAAACATAGCATGATAATCTATAGAATCAATTTTCATCTCCCACCCTATAAATTTGAGATAGACTTATATGTGAACTTTGGAAAGTTATGGGATCTCAAATTCCAAGCCACGTAACCTAATCAATTAAATAGACTGCAATTTCTCGAAAATGAAGGGATCCATATAGCACTAAATAAATTCCCCACTCATGAAAGCTTGCAGTCATCGCTCCATCAGGATTTGTTATTAGTACAGAAATCATGAAGCTGGCCTAGAATTTCGAAAGAAACAATATTGCTTATACAAGCGCCATTTGGCAAAAATAAGACCCTTTCATTACCTAGCAGCCCTACATCGACATTGCAAAAATTCTTCCAGTCGCTTGGGTAGTTGGATACTTGGATTGGTAGAAGTCGCGAACGTTGACTTCGCAAAACTAAAAAATCGAATAAACTTCATGAGGAGCCCTTAAACTTACAGGGTTGTCCCGGTCCCCAACATTCGAAATGTTATTTTGAATTGCTAAAATTTACCCTAACATCCAAGTACTCAACTCATAAAATGATTTCGTAAAAAAAACTCATAAAATATTATTTTTAGTCTGAACTTGGCTTCAGATGTCACCAACACCGGTCCTGGCCTACTCCCTATAGCAAGAGCTAGTTTGGGAGAGCTCTAGCTCAATAAAGAACACCAACTCCAGCTAGATCCACCGTAGAGCTAGGCTCACACACTGTTTAGGAGAGCTCCAACTTTGACATGAACTCACATGTAATCTTAAAAAATATATCTAAGGGTCAAAATGAAACAAGTTCATCTTCCTCCCTGCCTTCATTCCGATACTCGCGAGGCACCAGACGGTGTGGCATTGGGTCGGAGACCGCAAGAGGGAGGGAGGTGTGGGGCGCAAGAGGCCGTGCTAGTCGTGGTGGGCTTGGGTGGGGCGTCAGCCGTGAGCTCGAGTGAGGGGTGAGTCGCGGTTGGGCTTAGGGCGTGGCCGATTGAAGCTCGCGCGTCCGGGTTAGGGCGCCGATCGCTGTGGGCGTGAGAGCTGTGACGAGATCAATCCCAGAAGCGATGACGCGATACGTGGACGATGGAATGGACAAGGAAGAAATAGAACAAAACAAAACGAACTGGTATCGTAGTGTAATTAGTGACAGTGGTGGATAATGTTACTCAACTCCACCAAACTTGAGTTTTCAGAGCACCCTTTGAGGCGGATCTGTGTGGATCATCTAAAAGTGTTTGACATGATAAGGTGGATCTGGAACTGTTTTTCGTAGATTTGGAGCTGTTGTTGCTCTCCCCAATAGACCCTAACATAATAGCAACTCCAAGAGACTCTATAT